CCTTCGATCTGCCCCCCCCCCTCCCCCCCCCCCCTCCCCCAGCCTGGGGCAGCAGCTCCTGTGGGGACAATGAGCCCCTAAATGTGCTTCAAGGCCCCTGGAGGATGGCCCTGTGGGTGTGTGATCTTGGTGTGGAAGTAATCACGTGAGCAAATCTAATGTGAGTAAATCACAGACTTCCATCTGTAACTTTCTGGCGGTCTCCCCAGCACTGTACATTGGGGTGCATGGGTCTGAGGCTCCAGAAATTGGTTTGCTTTCCTCCCCCTTCTGGTCCAGGCTGGGAGGGGTGTCGCTGGGCTGCAGAGGGGGCAAAAGGCAGGTGAGCGGCCTGCCCCTCTCCCACCCACACAGGCGGGATGGAGGCTGAAGCCCGGCGGGGGAGCTGTGTGTGTGTCCGCTGACTGGTGTGTATGTGTGTAGGTGTGTTGTGTGTGTGTGTGTGTGTGTGTCTACTGACCAGACTAGAAGCATCATTGGTGTGTGAGTAGATGAGAGGAGGGTGTTGGCTTGAGGCTGTGAGCCTCTGTGAGCATTTAAAGGAGGTGAACATTTGAATGAGTCAGAGCCTGGAAAAAACACCCTCCAGGGGCCTGAAAGGCTCCTCGTGGTCTGGCCCCACTACCTCCCTGCCCCGTCTCCTGGACTCTGCCCCTAGCTCTCTCCTGCTGCTGCGGCCACCCTGGCCCCCGTTGCTCCTCAGACATGCTCCAGCCTTGAGGCCTCGCCCCGGCTGGTCCCTCTGCCTGAAACGCCCTTCCTGCAGACCTGTTTGGCTCACCTCCTTCAAGTCTCGGTCCTGACTCACCTTCTCAGTCCTGACTCACCTTCTCAGTGAGGCCCGCCGGGCCACCCTATTTAATATTGCAATTTGCCCACCCCCTGGGTAAGACAGAGCTCCTTACCCTGCTCTGCAGGTTCCCTTTTGCGTAACACTGATTTTCTCCCCTCACCTCTATAATTTGCCCATTTATCATGCTTGTTGCCCGTTTCCCCCACGAGGACGAGGATCTCCAGGTGTTCTGTTCACTGATGCATCCCGAGCACCCAGAACAGTAGCATTTATTTGACGGCATATTTGCCTCTAGTTTCTCATTTGTAACACGGGGACAATAAGAGAAGCTATCCACTTCAGAGAGTTGCTGCTCAGATTAAATGAATGAATACCTAAAAGCACCAAGAACAGTGCTCGGCACACAGCTTAATACATGTTAGCTGTTGTTACTACACTCCATCACTGCTTGGGAGGTGGAATTGAGTGAGTGATCCACGTGAGGGATCCAGCACACCGGCAGTCACCCAGGGGTGAAGGTGCTTACTAAACGCTTCTCGCTTCACTCTCACACCACCCCTTAAAAATTCCCAGGAAGGAAAATTCCCTGACCTCTTCCAGTCATGGAGCCCGTAGTTTGGGGCCCTCTTTGGGTTAGGAAGTTAGTTATCAGTAAATTAACTGTCTGTTCGGGTTTTGTTGTTGTTGTTTGTTTTTTATCAAAGGAAGAAGCAAGCAAGAACCCAGCCTGCCCCACCCTGGGCTGCATAGCTCCCAGGTGACTAACAAGCACATCCTTTGTTGGGTATGATAGCAGCTTGGACTACGTGGCACCTGAGCCCAGGAGTCGGGTGCCCAGATTCTTCTCCCAGCTCTGCAACCCCCGATAGGCTGGATGATTGGGGCACGTCCCATCCCCAATCTGAGTCTCTGCTCTTCCCTGGTAAAGGGTTGGGATTAGACCATTGCTAAAGTCTTTCCAGACTCATCTGTTCATCCGATTTTTATGGAGCACCTGTTATGTGCCAGTGCTGCTAGAGGGGATACAGCAGTGAGCAGAGGATACAAGTCCTTGTCCCGTGAAGTTGACGTTCTGGGCGGGGGGAGGGTGAACAGTAAATGATTAACACAATTGGTAAATCATGTACTATGTTAGAAAGTGGAGTGTGCTATGGGCAAAAGAAAAAGCATAGCAGATTAAGAGAAGGTGAA